CCCCCCCCCCCCCCCCCGCTCGCCCTCCCTCCCTCCCTCCCTCCCTCGTGTTGCACTTAAGGTGGTGGTGGTAATCCTAGCGACCTTAGTGACCTACCTCTTGGGGTTGGAAAACGACCCGTACAACGTCAAGGTCCTCGGCGATATCCCTGTTGGGCTGCCCCCCCCATCTTTGCCCTCCTTCCCGAACGTGAGTTGATGATCGATATCGAGGATAGGATAATTAGATTTCTGTACTGTATGTTATCGAAGGCAAATGTAGACTCGTGGTCGTTGACGCTGTATGCTGTAGGCTGTATACTGTAGGTATTGTACAAGGTCGGCGGTGTTGGTTACGAATATTCCGTGCGCGTTTGTGTCGGTATGGTTTGGTGCGGAATTCGTTGCACTTGGCAGGCACGTGAGTCTTGGACACCGGAAGAGTTGTGGCGTGTAGCAGCACAATAGGATGACAGGACGGTACGGTGGGATGATCGGATGATGCCGTGATGATGCGGCGAAGCGACAACCCCCTCGCTTGTATGTAGCGTTGTACCGCTGTACTGTAGAACCGTTTCCTATGCAGGACAAGGCCATTGGATCTAGTCGGATGTCCACGCCTCGGGGGTGCGGGAGTACTTAGATCTATACTTGACTTATCGATGCATCGTTCTCTTTGTAATCGTTTCGTTTTGCCGTATTGTTGAACCCCTGGCACTCTTGTTGCTTGGATGATTTACGTCTCACTACGCTTGACTGAATTAGGTTGACGGCATCGGCGGGTTCTCAAGCTACGCCAGCAACCTCGCCATCCAGAGCCTGCTGGTGGCGGTGATTTGCTACATCATCACTATCTCCATCGGAAAGACTTTCCAGAGGATCAACGACAACGCCTACAAGATCAACGGTGCACAGGCAAGGAATGGCGGTGTTCGGCCTCTTTTTCGTTTCGAGTCAAGCTTTCGTCGTTCCCGTACGGAGTTGTGTGCTAATTTATCATCGTGATCCTAAATGACTAGTGTGGTGGTGGCACGTCAGTCAAACATGCTATCCGCTGGCAACGAACGACCTTGGGACAGTCAAACATGGGTTGGCGATGGTAGCGGTGGTCCATCAGCTTTTTATCCACAAGCTTGCGGCCGTGACGGAAAAGAGCGATCGTGACGACATGGTGATAACGCCAACTTTATTCCGTGGTATGCTACACTGAAGAAACAAACGGAGCGCAACGTACTCCAACCATGTGTTCAGCTTGACCTTGCTGGGCGGTGTCCCATCTATCCCCACGACGCCGCACAACCGGCACCGGCTTGCTGCTCTACCAGGTCGTGCTGCGGCGGGTCTGTTGCTTGTTGGCGGCAGCGCCCCGTCCCTGTTAAAGCGAACATTGGCATTGGGTAATGCCGGTCGAATATTGAATCACGAACAGGATGGCAACCATCAAGATCATGTATTTTCTTTATTCCGCATCTGCCGAAGCTAGGCATTCTATAGCACGTCGCACACAAACAAGGGCAGGGTAGTCGTTTGGCGCACGGACACCGGAATGTCAATGCATGTCCAATCAAGGCACGGGTGCACTTTCACCAATATCAGATGCTAGTGTCAGTTTGCTCTCGATCACCAGACACAACTCGTGGCTGTGGCGATTGCAAGATTTTTTTCTCGGATTTGTCTCAAACTTGTTATTATGGTCGTCTTTTTGAGCCACCGGTCGACGTGATGAGCTCGAACCGCACCCTCAAGCCGCACTCTATACAAGCGCACCGGGTGTCATGTTCGTTCGTCGCCTTCATGTTTGGAATACTCATGCGTCAAAGACCCTTACTGTTTTTGTCGATTTTTTTCGTAACTTCTCTACGAACAACGTCCGTATGCCTACACTCTACCGCGCCAACGCGAACGCCATATCAACAATAAGTCGCCGTATTGCTGCAGAATAATGTTCATGAACAAACCACCGTCTTGCTACAAGTTTGTGAACGAAACGGTCATGCTAGCATCCAATGTTGAAAATGCTATTGCTTGCAGGAGCTCGTGGCGATGGCGAGCGCCAACATGGTTGGATCGCTCTTCAAGTCCTACCCGGCGTCGGGATCCCTGAGCCGAACGGCAGTGGTTCAGTCCGTCAACGCCAAGACACGCATGCACCTCATTCCCGCCGTCGTCGTGGTGATGCTGGTGCTGGTAGCTATCACACCCTTGCTCTACACCTTGCCCAAGGCCATCCTCGCGTCAGTGGTGAGCTACTTTATCTTTTTGTACATGATGGTACTGACTTGTGGATGACGGCTGCTTGTTTTGTCGTGCGAGGTTTGACGGAGTTTGTGCAAGTTGGCCGCTCGCTTACATGGTGGGTACACCATTTTTTCTCCCGAGGTGTCTTGTCTTGGAGATTGTTTAGTGTCGAGATGAACGTCGACGGCGACTGTTGCCATTTATCCGCAACAGCATTACGGACCTGCCATTTATTGCAACATCGATGTGGAGGCCCAGTTTCGTTTTTTTTCGCCGCCGTCGAAGTAGCCTACAACTTACGTAGGACCTTGCGTTGGCTCCGCCGCAGAAGCCGCGATTCTTACCCCAAGCCCATTTTTTTTTGGGGGGGGGGTGCACTCGTAGTCGTGCATGCCGTAGTTGTTAGACCATCGACCTCGCATCCCTACAAAGCCGGGACGGAGCACGCCGGGTTCTCACCGGACCAGGCTCTCACATCACCAAGCGCCAAGCGCCGTGAGGTATCCGGCGAGTCGCATGAAGGGTGCGCTGCACCCTGCTAAGGGTGTTCGGCATCTTGTGCTCACTTCCCTGCATTCGGATGACAGCTGCGTATGACTTAATTTATATTCCGGTGCTTTCACTTCCAGAGACAGTTGTAAGCACTGTGTAACTGCCTCGAGGGTGCTTGACCATTTTAACACAACGTGGTGCGATCATCCCCCTTGCGCGGAGTGAGGGTACTTGACCCCGCACAACATGATCTACTCGGCCACCATCATTGTAACCGCCAAAAAAAAAACAGAGGTGACAAAAAAAAAAAAACGGTATCCTGGTTGCCGAGTTCACGAAGTGAATTGGCTTGTTTT